CAGTGGCGAAGCCAGCGGTCATGCAGGTCATGCAGTGCATGACTAAAAATTTCCCCAAAAATGTTTAAAAATCAGTTCAGTATAATTGTTTACAATAGAATTATACTTTATCTTTGCACTTCTACGCCTAAGTATTTTATTTATTATTTTGTTTACCCAAATCAGTGGTCTTTAGGTCGATATTTTCGCTAAATATTCTCGTATGTTATTGATTTCGGCTTTGTTACCTGCATATTTTCACATGCATGACCGGTTGCGTAAGCGCGTGGAAAACAATTGCGTGTGATTGCTGCGTGGTTTGCTCGCTGTGTGTTTTGGTCATGCATTTTCAGAATTTCATGACTAGCTATATTATTTTATATTAGGTTTGTTGGTTTCTGATTGGCTTACGACGTTCGCGCACGCGCAATGCGGCTGTTTTTGACGCCTTGGTCATGCAATTTTCGATTTGCATGACTAAACGGGCAACACAACCTGATCACAGCCTCTTAGCTCGAAGCTTTCAGCCTGAATGAACACGTCTTCAGGTCATTCAAGCATGTCGACTTCTTCTTCACTCGAAGCTAACGATATTGTTTGGGAATTAGTGAAAAAACCATTTTCTGCTCAGCAGAATATTATTGTTTATCAAGCAGAGACCAACGCCAGATCTTTCGACATGCCCGATCGGGAAAGGTTTTCAAATGTCGTGGTATTCAAAGAAAGAATAGAATGGCTTAGGCTAAATAAGCTATTAGTATTATTTAGTTATTGTTATTTTGTCTTGAATATTTAAGCCTTCAACCCGAGCATAGTCGTATAAAGCATCGAGCGCTAGTATAATACTGAGTATTATACTAGCGCTCGATGCTTTATACGCCTATGCTCGGGTTGAAAATACTGTATGAAATACAATGTCAATGTCGAGGTCAATGTAGTAAACAATGTAGTTCTATAAATAGCGCTGCAAGGCTTATACATTTCAACACGCAACACAAATATTTTAGCGATTGTGATTTAGCAACATATTTGATATATACTTGTTTGTGAAACAAACAAAGAAATTTCAATATATATTGTTAAATTGTATTTACCATTTGGTACATACTCCCCGTAAACTGACAGTAAAATTTCAACTCGAACATCTGTCATCTGATAATGCCTAATTCCTTTCCGTATCTGAATATTGTAATAAATTGGGCGATTGATTTTAAATTAAGGAAATTGATCAAGGCTCATGCGTAATGCGTTATATTTTCCAAGTGATCAAGTCTGCATATTATAATATACCTATATTCTAGATTATACTGACTGTATTGGCAGCTATTTGTCATTATGTATCGAAAAGAAATACACAATTGCCGGTATGACTATAATTAGAGCGGAACTGCAGACCACAGATTTCCTATTTTTGTGTTGATCTTCATTATTGTTGTCTGAAATATGCCAAAATATCCACATCTTTTCCTTCATCAGGTCAAGCTATTTTCCAAAATTTGATGCTCAGATTGCTGCAAATAGCGTTTCTGGGAGTCTATATTTCAAAAATTTTCCGCGGGGGCATGCCCCCGGACCCCCCTAGGATGTCTCACGCCTTCGGCGCTCGTTTGCATGACCAGTCACACGACGCTGGCTTCGCCACTGCTGGAGAGTCGTACGTGCATGCGACGGTTTGGAGGTGTCGCGTGTTAGTATTGTATAAAACAATGCCCTCAACTTCCAAGAAAGATTTACACACTGATTTAAAACATATGCTATTGATAAATTTCCAGTGTCTTATTAACAAATAACAAATCGGCAGAAACAGATCAGATCGCAGAAATAATCATGATAGAATCAAGACAACTGCATGTTGCCGGCATGTACTGATGTACAGTTATGGTTATTGGTTTATAAATTGTTTTAGAGAAATAAAAAATGAAACGAAAGTATAAATCAGGATCTGCAAATAGGGCGGAAAAGAGAAGAAGTATTCAAATAGCTACCCAAAATACAGCTCATATAGCCTCATTCTTTGAAAAAGCTGAAAATGTTGAAAGTGATGCTGAAGATATCCATCAACATCTTCCTTGGCTGATGAAGCTCAATTAAGTACATCAAATGAAGGTGTAGACAGTGGGAGCATGAAGAAAAATGCTGAAACTTCTAATGATCAATTAGGACTTTTCAATCTGGCCAATGAATACCCTACTGGTACTTCCCATCCTCAATTGAAGAAGGGAATATAAAGAGACTTATTCTTAGTCATGGCCCATGTAAACCTGATGGACCATTTACAGTGGAAGACGAACAAGGTAACATAACAACAAACTTCAGCACATCATATTATCAACTCCACAGCAAGAACAAAATGTGCCCGAGATCATGGCTTTGTTATTCACCAATATTAGCAAAACCATACTGTGAAAATTGCTGGCTTTTTGCTGATCGAAATCATCCACATTTTGGGTTGCAAAGTGCATGAGTAGATGGAGTTCGGAGCTCAAAAAGCGATTGCTAGCTAAGATAAAGAAACACGAAAACTCATTGCTCCATATTGAAGCATCTGCTGTATATATTAGCTATGTAAAGAAGGGAAGACAATAAGTGACGAATCCCAAAAGCAGAACCAACGTGAAACTAATTTACATATGGGTGGACGTTTTGAAAAGGTTTTGGGTGTAATTCTTTGTCTGGCCTCGTTAACTTTGCGAGGACATGATGAAAAAGTAGGTGAAGGGCTTGCACAAGGAGGGAATTTCCTGAGTGTGGTGACACTGTTGAGCGAATTTGACACTATTACTAATGATGCCATTTCCTTACCTAAGTATGCAACTCGATACATGAGCCCCAAAATCCAGAATGGACTGATTCTAACAACATCTCAGCTTCTGCGAAAGTCTTTGGTCACTGAGATAAATGAATGTCCATTTTGGTCAATTGTACTGGATACCACAAGTGACATAAACAGAGTAGATCAGCTCAGTGTCACTGCTCGGTGGGTTAAAGTACAAAACGAGAATGTTACTATTAAGGAAACTTTCCTCGGTTTTATATCTGTAACTGACGGGACCGCGGCAGGCCTCGTAGAAACAACATGCAAATATGTCGAAGATATTGGACTTGACATGGAAAAGCTCCGTGGTCAAGCTTACGACGGGGCGAGTGTCATGAGTGGTGTTCACAATGGCGTACAAAAGCTGATAAAAGATCGTTCATCAAAGCCTGTGCCATTCATTCATTGCGCAGCACACAATCTAAACCTTGTTATAAATGATGCCGTAAATTCCGTTGTTGATAACGATAACTTTTTCTTATTCAATCCATTTACGTATTTTACTCATCGTCCATAAATCGGTCAAGAGATTTACAGTTGCTCACTATTGATTCGTCCTTGTCTTTAAAAAAGCTCTGCGTTACCAGGTGGTCGTCAAGGGTAGATTCGGTCCGTGGAGTGTGGGACAGATTTGTTGACATTTTGAAGCGACTGACAGTGATTTCGATGACCAGCAAAGATAAAAAAAGAACGTCGGATGAAGCAGTTGGCATCAAGAAGAACATTACAAAAATTGATTTTATCATAAATCTAGTTCTCTGGGAGAGAATTTTGTTATGTACCAACTCCAATCGAAAAGTGTCGACCTCAGAGCCGCTTCCAGACTTTTATCCATTAGTTTGTCAGAACTAAGGTATTTGCGAAATTCATGGGAGTCAGTTCGAATGACCGCGAATGCCTTTGCTGCATCATGGGGCATTCCCATTGAGTTTGAGAAACGACGTAAGCGTGGGGTAAAACAATTCTTCGACGAATTGGCTTCCGATTCTAGGATCGAGTATTCAGAAAGAGCTTTTAAAATAAACATCTTTTACAGAACCATTGATGTTGCTGTAGCACAGATAGAAGTGCGTTTTAAAGGAATGCAAATGGTCGCAGGGAAATTTGATTTTCTGTTCCCAAGAAACTTCGTCAAACTGGAGGTCGCCGAAATTAAAGTAGCCACCTCGAACTTACAACGTGTAAATGGCGAAGACTTTGATGGTGATGACCTGGAAAGAGAGGTTCGTTCGTTTCAAGTTGAATTTCTTGACGAATTAAAAGCGGAAGACGTTATCTCGGTATCAAGCATTCTTGAAATCATTTACAAAGCCAGAATTGCTTCCTCCTTTCCACAGTTATGCAAATTGCTATTGTTATTCCTAACCATTCCTGTGACAGTAGCATCTGCAGAAAGATCCTTTTCAAAGCTGAAGATCATTAAATCTTATTTGAAGAGTTCTATGGCTCAAGAGCGCCTTGATGGGTTAACTTTGATTTCAATAGAGAACAAAGAAATAACTCAAACATTAAAAGATAAAGTCATTAATCATTTCGCTTTTGTTAATGCTAGAAGGAAGGACAGATTTTCTCGATAAACTTCGCAACTTTGTATAGGCTTTTTGCATATTATCAATTTTCATTTTAATTGTTGTGTTTGCGCGTAGGACGCGCGAGTCCGAACTTTTTTTTGTGTAGGCTAGGTTTTCCAGTCCGAACTTCGTACTCATAGGGATTTTGATAAGTTGTCAATAAAATACAAATATTATTTGTGTTGAGGATTCTTTGGAGGCATAATCTCAACAATGTAATGGATTGGAGTCCATTCTGTAACCAAATATTATGTAAGTGAGGATTGCTGTTGTGTAGACATAAGTCGTAAATTCAGCCTATGTTTAGTGGTAATAAGGAGCAAAGGGGGGCCAAAAGTGGCCGATTGACGGAGGGCCCCCAACTGACCCAGCGGTTGCGTTACGCCACTGTGTACAGACTAGCTGCACTATTAGACTATTTTGAAAACTTTAGTATATACAGTGAAAAGCAATTTAGTACAAACATTGTCATAAGTTTTTATACTGCAGTAAAATATGATAATTTCGATCGAAAAAAATTGAAAATTTTCTTTTATTAATGAAAGATAAAATGACATTGTTGTAAATACAACTTTCAATTACATACCTTCGATATTCAGCTCGTCAAATGACAGATTTAATTCGTCAATATCATTCTTTGGTAAGCCTGACAGCCCTGACTTGGCCGCCACAATTTTGTACTAATCTTATAAACAAATATCTAACCAGACCGACTGTAAAAATGATGAAATATAAGGCCTACCAACTTTTCATCTAAAAAACCAACTTTGCGATACAGGATCTTCCAATCGTCTCCTTCGTTTCTCTTCTCCCTTCCCGTCTTTCCCCGCGCGCTTTCCTTTTTAGTTTTCCCCCGCGCGTGATTACTGCATTTGCGTGTGTCTCACGAATCGCGATATCTCAATTCTCAAATTAATTCAGCTTTGATTGCTTTGCCTTTGTTTTAAATTTTCAAGCAATTTCTCGAGCTCCATTTCCAAGACCTTTAGAGACGACTGGGGACAAGTCAGACTTGGAAGAGTGTTAACGGAGAAGATCGGACATTATTATTAAGCATGGTTATTTTGAGCAATTAGTAAGCTTTCTTTAATAAGAATATAATGGTTAGAATTTGCTGAAGTAACAATTTTAAAATCACTTGGTTCAATTGGATGACCGGCTTCTCTAGAATGATCTGAAATGCTAGATTTTAAACCCGGTCATCCAATTGAACCAAGTGCACGTGATTTTAAAATTATTACTTCAGCTAATTCTAACCATGATATTCTTATTAATAAAATGAAGCTTGCTAATTGCTCAAACTAAACCATGGCTTAATAATAATGTCCGTTAACACTCTTCTAAATATCTAGGTGTTTCGATCCTCTTGTTAATTTACTAACATCTTTTAACACTGACGCTAACCACTTGACATTCCTTTTTAAATCTATATCTTTCACTAATCTCAGCATCTTGTACATATCAATATACCATGAACATTGTATATTTCTAATTTTAACTTTTTAACCGTTTGTAAGTGTATATCATATATTTTTTTTCAAAATTTGTTATAAAATTGATGAAATAGCGTAACTGTATTTAGTTTGATGATGTCGCTTGTAATGTGAGGAAACGTTACTCAATAAAGATTTTTTATATACCAATTGTTTTTTGAATCTGCCTCTTTTTGCATGTATGCATGGTTTCAAAAGCCTTTTCACAAACCACTTTAAATTTAAATTACTTTTATTGCAAACGAGCATGTTGACACTTGTTGGGCTCTTGAAAGACTGCCAGTTGCTTTATGATAATTTGAAATCAAACTAGGAAATAACATGAACTTCTACTTTTTAATCATATCAAATAATTGAATAATTTTATGATAGTTATAAGGAAATGTTTATTCAGTTCACTTTTCGTGCAGTTAATCATAGCAAGCGTCCAAAAAATACTTTTGAGATTTCTGTTTCTTCAAAACCATGGATAAAATCGAAAGCAGCCGCAATGAATTCCCCACGACTAATTTTATCATCCTCATTCGTGCCAATCACGTTGAAGGAATGCTTCATCTCATCTTCAGAAATATCAGGAGCAATTATTTGAAAATACACCTTGAACTCGTCCAGGGAAATGTATCCGTCTTTATCGAGGTCCAGGACATCAAAGATCGGGTCATGAGTTTCTTTTATGAGAGCCATTTTCTTTTCTTGTGCCATAACAGAGAATTCTCGGTTTGCTTTTTTAGCTGCTTCTTCTACAGGGATCTTTACTCCGCGTTTCAGACCCAATGCATCAGCAACTGCCATGAATGCATTGCGTGTCGATTCAGCGTCCTCTGGGTTCAATTTAGCATTTTCTTGCACTTTTGTGGCCATGAGTTCGTAGTCTGCGCGAGATATGAAACCATCGTGATTCAAATCTAACCTGGTGAATCGAGTTCGCATTTTCTGCAAGTGAAACGCGCGTTGTTTTTCAATCAAACTCAACATCGTAACGGACTAACGGTGTCTGGCGGTGGCGATGTTTGGTGTTAAACTGATACAAAATATATTGGGCGATGCAACGCGCTGATCGACGTGTGATCTTATCTATAGTTATCTATGCATATATTATGTCGTTATTAGGAAATTTGAATTATATATGGAATCAAAAATACTTTGTCAGTCAAGTGTGTAGGGGTCTCGGCGGTTAAACGATTTTGGCTCATCTGAGAGGTGAATATATCTCAATTTCATGGAGGTTTATGTACAGTGAAGAAGCTATACGGCTCGGTAAGGGAAAGTCGTTGAACAGGGAATATATTTGACGTCATGAAGATTGGCAGACTTCACAAAAATAGGTACGCGACGCATACATGTATCTGCGAAAAAAGTTGATTCACATTTTGTATTTTCTTGAAAGGAACTGAATAATGAAGATGACAAGGGACAATTGAAATATTTCATCACTAATTATAATAAATATAATAGCAAATAAGACTTTACAGTAGAACATAATACACATCAAACAACAGGGCTGTACACTGCGCAGAAGGCAGCAGGGGTAACTCCCCCCCCCCCCAAAGAAAATTTAACTAATTTTATAATGTGCAGATTATGATTGTAACAGGTGATTATGATTGTAATGGATAATTATGCAATCAGGAAATAAAAATTTCATGCCAACAATATTCGAAGTGTCTATACAACTGGCTATTTAGTAATCTTGTCAATCAATCCCTTTGTAGTCATATGAAGCAAACGTAGACGTTCTGTCACTTGTTGTTTACACTTGGCAATGTTATCTATTGAGTAACATACACAAACTATTCGAGGAACATGCATTACTGTAGCAATGAATCAATCATGTATGGAAGACCACTGAATTGTAGAGAATGTTTTGAAGGTCATGAGTGAAGCATATGATTCAATTCCAGTCCTGTGCACAGTTAATTATATACCACACTGTTCGCGGTTTAACACAGCATATCCACACAAACACAATTTGTGTTGTGGGTGAATATCGGTTTGAGTAGAAGGTATCACAAGTTTAGTTTTGTACATTGTGTGCCATTGATCTGATCCATGCATATAATATATGATTATTGTAGCTGTTAAGTTATTTTCCATACTAATGAAATTAGGTAAAATTGTCTTGCAAGTGTGGTGGTTCTGACAAAATTACCCAGCCAATATCCAGTACATTTATTCATCATTCTTGTATTATTATTAAATCTCTAAACAAAATACAAAAGCAAAATGACAATGTAATGAAGAGGGAAGGTGGGCACTCTTTTATTAATTAGCATTTGAAAATGTTTGTAAAAATTTCAAATGTATAAGTATTTTAACTGATAACATCTTATCCTTAGCTATTATTACTACATTTGATGGCAGCTTCGTTGGAAACTGTTGGACTGTTGTTTTGAACAGAGTTACAGATATACAGGACAAGGATTTAATTCAATATCTCCTGAGAACATTAGTTTCCTGTGATATTGTCCATTGGCATGCAATCTATATAAATGCCTGCTGTGTTTTGACTGTTTAAAATATTACACAATGATCGCTTACTGCATTACTGTCTGTATATGAAATGTATATAATAAAATAAGTGGTATTTGACTACTTACCAGATGAGGATAAGTTTCCATGTTTATATATAACTTCGGAATATAAATATCACACGAGGCCAAACTATGCCCGTTCGCAGGTTAGATGCAGGCACAATGTAAACAATTGGATGTAACCTAATCGCTGATTGGCTTAAATTGGCTCAATTATATAAGCTCGTCGCTGAATGGCTATGTGTTAACACACGGTACGCTACGTTTACGACAGTAATATACGAAATAGAAAGTAATAAAGCATAGTTAATTTGCCATTGAGTCATCTATCTGTTATAGAAAAATAGTCGAAACCTGGGAAGTCGGAAATGGAGTTCGTAATTATAAATCCTTTCTTACGCACAAAATAAAACGGCTTATGTAACGTAGCAACTATAACTTTTAGGGGCTAAAGCACTTGCACATGACGTCACAGCCGCCATGTTGGTGTTCCAATTCAAAAGAATTTTAATTGGACTCTTTTGTCTGGAACACCAAAATGGCCGCCATGGCTTTATGGTGTGTTGGTCCCTGGGGAATGAGTGCAAACGCTCTATATGCAGCGTCGGAACTGTCAAAATTAATTATCGTTAAAAGTATCAATCACGTTGGGTCTGCATAAGATGTGAGCCATGCGAGGAACCTAATTACCCAAACCTTGCGACTCACATGCACATGCATACTGCAACAAGCCATGCATGTTTCGCAGAAACACTTTTGTTAGCTCAAATATGTGCGAACGTGCACTCTATATCATTTTAGAGCTTATGATTTTTCTGTTTAAAGGACATTGGCAACGAAAATTTTTATTGGCTATTTCAATCCTACTTGACAACCTAACTATGAAAATATTATCATTTCCTTCTCGAACATTTTACTCTAGGAGTAAAATACATGCAAACTTTGTGTGTCGCCGCCATCTTGGAAAAAATGACCTTCGAAGGTCAACGAATTTTGTGACGTCATTAGATGGGTAGCACCAAAACTACAAGTGAGAATTCTATTGCGTGCGTGTCGTGTTAGCCAAAAATATGTCGTTTTGAGCGTTATACTGGCCAATACTTTTCGCAATCAAACAAGAGAAGCCTACACTATCAGACAAAAACATATCGAGCGACTGGGAAAGCAAGGAATGGCGCAATTTACAATACAGGTAATTGATCATAAAATATTGCATTAGTGTTTGCCTTGTTTACACTCGAGTTACTGCGTTTATTTAACACGGACTAGGACTGATATACTATCAGAAATAGTGTTACAAATAAGGAACATACTTGGTAAAACGTTTCTGCCCTTCGTTTAGGCTCAAAGTGCACTACGCGTGGTAATACTCGGTATTGTTTTATAGTCATGAAATTGTGTTTACCCATCTAATGACGTCAGATAATGTATGCTGTGGCACAAGTGTTTATTTTCAAAATGGCGGACTACTGTTGAACTTTTTATTACATTTTCTCAACACCTAAATGCGACAAACCGGCCAAAATATAAAATTAAGTATTCCGTAAGCATACCTAATAGATATAAGCAATAAAAATTTTGGTTGCCAATGTCCTTTAAGGTTGAAGACAGCCATATCTTCATATATCAAAATCGACAATGTTTGGTCTTATTAAACATATATTGCAGCACATAAGCCAATAAATTCAACGAAATCGAAACTAAATTTATCTATACTGATAGCTTTATTTGCTGTAGACTGCATGCTATCACAGAGAGCTGGTCGTTCATTGTAAAGCATACATGGTTTCCATATGGTTGTTACTGTCGCGACCGTGTCGCGAAAGGGGGCCTTGCTCCCCCCTGATTGTTGCACAACTGTTGCCACGCTGTCGTTTTTCTGTTTCCATTAAAACATAACCGTCACGACAGGTTTTTAGCCTGTCGCAGCTGACGTCAAAATAGAACTGGAGTCTATCTCGATGACACAGCTGTAACTGTCGTGAACTGTTGCCAGCGTGTTGCGACAAGACTTTTCTTCAAGTTTCCACTTGATTTGGTTGCATGCGAACACTTCTCAGACGACAGCTGCAACACGTTCAAGACCGTTACGACCATAAGCAAACCAGGCGTAATACAGCACGAAACCTAAACTAGACTTATTATGTTGGTAAGTGTACTTATAAAATCTACTTCTTCAGTCATTGTCAATTAACATTCGTAATATCATTTGGTTTTGGACAGGGACGTGCTGGGGTCTTGAAAAGGACGACGAATGAGCAACGTCTGATGGAGCCGAGGCCCATGCAGTGACGGATGGATCCAGAATGGGCTGGGGGGGGGGTATTATACTGATCAAGCATGAAACAGCTCAGTCGCTTAATCTTTTTCCCCAAAATTGGGGGGGGGGGATTGTAAAAACAGTTTACGGACATACCATTTTACAGTAAATTTCGAATTTATGAACCGTAATTTGTTAAACTTTTTTATAATATTTTCGTAAATTTAGATTTTTAAATAATAAATTGTTATATCTTAATCTCCATTTTCAATTGGCTCGTCCCTGCCATCACATCCTTGGTTTCGGAACTTCACCTCCGTTAGCCAGTGATTAAACTGTTCTTTGTCGAAGTCCAGTGTAAAGAGACACTGAACTTGTCTAATATAGATACATGTGGGTCAAATATTCATTGTTTGAAGGTGACGTGACGTAAGGATTTCTATGGTCAATTGAACACAGTGAATTTGCATATGCCGGAATGTTTCATATTTGTGAAAACATTTGTACAGCATTACTAACTTTCGATCCATAGGTGGCCGCCTGCATGGATCTTCACCAGTGTATTGAATTATTTTAACGCCAAAGCCAAAGGCTGCAGGCAAAGAAATAAACGTGTCCACAAAACAAAGAAAATCAATTATATTTATTTTTACCTTGCAAACATACAAGGTCAAGGATCTTATTGTGATTTATTACAATGGTGTCAAGATAACGAAATATTCTTAAAAAGCAAAATACACTAATTATTGAAGATACGCAATAGCGACTATCCTTTTATCTCCAATTCAAATTACGGCGAATAGAAATTATCTTCGGCGTACTTGCCTCAATGTCCACAAAGTCTTGTCTTTTGTGATATTGCCCATGGGCATGTTCATGATGAAAACTGAAGAGTTTACTGTGATCGAATGGCAACAAAATTTAAGTCGGCATTCAGTATACAACATGTTCTAGCTTTTCTTTTTCCAGCCTCGAAATATTTTAGTTTAATTTGATATGTGATATGATATGATATGATATGATATCTGATAATTTCAAAGGTGGCAGTCCCGTCACGGGTTCAAAAATGATGAAATCATTCTATATAATATCATCGTGTTGATTCCTTGGACCAACTTGCACACAGATGAAAAGGTTACACAGCAAGCAGGCGCTCTTGGTATATTAAGGTGGTTTCGGATCATGTTAACTGAAGTGTTTGGTTTTTAATTTTCTTTGTTTAGAAAAACGGCGGCAATAATAGAATAGTAACAAACAAGCAGTATTAAAATTATTTAGAAAGATATCGTGTTCTATATTTTGGTCCGCAACATGCGAGGCACACATATGAATGAAATGAATACATCGAAGGTAACATTTTAACATGATTTTCCTATATTCAGGTAAAATTCGACTTTCACATCTCACACCTGCCCAACTGTAGAAGCTGTGCAAGATTCCTGAATATATTGGATTGCCAAACCACAGACCCCTATAATAGACCCTCCGTGTCCAGAGTCAATAATGGAGTTAAAATATATTACATGCGTGTGGTGTTCCACAAGGGTCTGATCTGGGGTCACTCCTATTTCAGGGCGCGGAGTTTGGGTGTCATGTAATCGGCGAAGGGCCTTCTCTCGAAACGTTGAAGTTCCCTTGCATTTCGTCAGGTAGTTACATCCCTATCAATCCGAAGCTTTCTTATTATTGCCACTATACCTTGAAAAAGCTGTGTGTAAAACCATCCACGTTTTATTCCTTATCCGCCAATTGCCGTCCGCCATCCGTATCCGCGTTTTATCATTTCCCCCAAGGCATGTATTTTAAAACGTAACAAGACGCCTACTCAGGCGTTCACACTGACCTGAAAATGATGACATGCGCGCTATGGTGCAATCTCGTTCCCTGAGCCTGCGGTCCTTGGGAAGGAAACGAAGGCTCTGGGATAATCCGTTTCAGGGAGGAATCTGATTGGCCGTTGATATGGAATATGCAATTCAATCTTAGCCAGAATTCCTGGCTTTCGGCAACGGATTATCCCAGAGCCTTCGTTTCCTTCCCAAGGATCGCAGGCTCGGGGAACGAGATTGGCTATGGTGTAATAGACAAGGGAATGGGGAGCAAGAGAGTTCGCATAGAACAGTTTCAGCGGTAGATACGGTAGATTTATCCAAAGAAAATCAATAATTTGATAACAAAAAGCAGAAGGCAGAAACTGTTTGAAACCTAAAGTTGCGCTTTTGCACAAGTAACAAACCTTCATAGGAAAAAATAAAAATATAAAATGAGACATAGGTAACATCTCTTGTGCTTTAATCACATTTAGTTTAATATCAGATACTTAGTAATAATATCTATAGATAGTATCTCAGGTTCACACCGAAAATCACGTGACCATATTCAACTTTATCAAATCATGATCGTGGATCATTTCTGAGTAGTGAAGCAGTCAGATACAATATATCATTGTCTTCTTCGCCTTTCAGTTGCCTTAAACGATACGTTTATGAAGAACGGAGATTTTGCGCTACGCAGTATTCCGTGATCATGTTCCAATATAGATATAAGAATTAATGAGCACATGATAACAAATGAGCACATAATAACTATGAGTTGAGTTGTATTAGGAAAATGAGAACCATACAATAAATGTCTTAGTTCTTGTTGGTATTTCACTGAACGCACGCTTTATCTTTACTTGCGCCAATTCTAGTAGCTACTGCGCGAATTTTAATACATGTATTACATGGCGCGTTTTTACTGTCAAAATTCAATAGGTCCGCCGGAATTCTAGTAGCTACGTACTGCGGGAATTTTAATACATGTATTAAGGTATAGTGCCGACATTGTGTAGTCAAACGCCAAACCTTTAACTTTTCCTTGTTTATATTATATTGTGAACTAAATGTTATTGTATTAGGAAAATGAGAACCATACAATAAATGTCTTGGTTCTTGTTGGTATTTCACTGAACGCACCGCTTTATCTTTACTTGCGCCAATTCTAGTAGCTACGTACTGCGCGAATTTTAATATATATGGCGCGTTTTTACCGTCAAAATTCATTAGGTCCAATAGTTACTAGTCGAACACCAAATCACCAATGATACAAATCGGGCAACACTTACTCGAATCGAGCAGACTGATATGTAAATCGATTATTGAAATCGATCAATATACATTCAAAACGAGCAAACAGTATAGCCAAATCGAACGACTATTCCTTGTTTATATTATATTGTCTATATTGTGAACTAAATGTAATTGTATTAGGCAAATGAGAACCATGCAATAAATGTCTTGGTATTTTGAATGCAAGCTTTATCTTTACTACTTGCTCGAACTCTAGTAGCTACTGCGCGAATTTTAATACATGTATTAAGGTATATTGTCGACATTTTGTAGGTAGAATTGGCTAGTGTACATTGTTCATTATATTATGAAATAGGCCTATGATACTAGTTAAAATTCGCGTCGAGCTAAATGTTATTGTATTAGGCAAATGAGAACCATACAATAAATGTCTTAGTTCTTGTAGGTATTTTGAAGGCACGCTTTATCTTTAGTATAGCTACCACAAAGCGTTTGGCGCACCAACTAGTAGCTACTGCGCGAATTTTAATACACGTATTAAGGTATATTGTCGACATTGTGTAGTGAAACTGTCAAACCTTTAACTTGTCCTTGTTTATATTTTGTTTATAGTATATATTGTGAACTAAATGTTATTCTATTAGGCAAATAAGAACCATACAATAAATGTCTTAGTTCGTTTTGGTATTTTGAACGCTCGCTTTATCTTTACTTGCGCGAATTCTAGTAGCTATTGCGCGAATTTCAATACATGTATTTTAATATGGTCAAACCTTTAACTTGCCCTTGTTTATATTGTATTGTGAACTAAATGTTATTGTATTAGGCAAATGAGAACCATACAATAAATCAAAATAAACTGTAGAACCTTTAACTTGTCCTTGCTTATATTACACTATATTGTACAAATTCGCGTCGGGTCCAAATTTTGGGGTTTTCGAGTCGTTTAATACAACATATTGATCGTATAAATCCGCCGGGTCGGCCAAATTTTGGAAGCCAAATTTTAGAGTCGTTTAATACAAAAATAAAAACATTAATTCAAGACGCAGAAAAGTCCAGAGTGTGACAAAAAATTAACACAACTACACCACGGATGTTTATGATTCTACAACGTATATTTATAGACAGTTGTTTATTAGTTAAAAAGTCAAAATGTCGAACCTTTAACTTGTCCTTTGTAAAATTCGCTGGGTCCAAATTTTGGGGTTTTCGAGTCGTTACACGAAGAAAAACATATTAATTCAACACGCAAGAAAGTTCAGAGTGAGACACTCCGTAAAATCCATAGGAAACCGGCACAACTCTTTGAAAATTCAACGAAACTGTGTGAAATATATTCTGATCACTCAGCCAAAAGGCGCCATTTTGAAACTGGACTGAATATGTCACCATTGGAGTTCGGAATTGTGCGCGTGCGTTATAAGTCCATATAAGTCTATATATAGGCTAATAAACGAAAAACGCACCACAAGCTGACAAGCATGGCATGAGCCGGCTATTACGTACATAAATACAAGCTTCTTACTATTATGTATGAATCGTGGAGTCGAAGAATCGATGGCATTTTGGATTAATCGTTGCACCCTGAGCCTGCGATGCGCGAACGCAAACTCGATTTCTCGACGACGAAAAAAACAGAAGAAAACAGAAAACTAGGGATTTAAGACACTTGATTTTTCAGGTCAGTGTAAATAGGGGAAGTTTAATAACTCATGCATGCACTACTTAATAGGTTAATTAGAATATATAATATTTTGTATTTACGTTGACCTGCATTGCAAAACAGACTTTAGAAATAAGGCGGAGAAAGACGGATATAGTATTTTGATACTCGTTAGATCTTGTCCGATTTCAGATTGTATTTTGAGTGTCAAAACTTCAGGTCTCGTCAGTATTCTCTTTAAAGAAGCTCTCAGAACTTGTCTTCTATTGGACAACGTTGCAACGTTCAAAACCTGTAGGATGCACGCATGCATGTATGCATGGTTTCAAAAGCCTTTTCACAAACCACTTTAAATTATTGTTATTGCAAATGAGCGTGTTGACACTTGTTAGGCCATAGGTAGCCTAGACACACTGTGCGATTTAAATTTAAATTTAAATGCTTGGCATACTTAACTACCTCCTGCGGTTTCCTCAATATAATAATGTTAAATAGCTAAAAAATATTCTGAATTTTTACACTAAAATGTATCACTAATCAATACTTATCGTTGAAGGAAATATACTTAGGTACATAGCATGCATCAGCAAAAATAAATAGTTTATACCTATAGTAGAAGCTATTAAAGGTATAAAATATATATTTTTGTTGATGCATGCTATGTACCTAAGTATATTTCCTTCAACGATAAGTATTGATTAGTGATATATTTTAGTGTAAAAATTTAGAATATTTTCGAGCTAATCGTTAACATTATTATTTTGAGGTCGAAACCGCAGGAGGTAGTTAAGTATGCCAAGCATTTAAATTTAAATCGCACAGTGTGTCTGGGCTACCTATGGTTAGGCTCTTGAAAGACTGCCGGCTACACTATGACTATGATCATTTCAAATCAAGCTAAGGAATAACATGCACTCATACTTTTTAATCATATCAAATAATTCAATAATTATATGATAGTTACAAGTCTATTCAGTTCACTTTTTGTGCAGCTTATGATAGCAAAGGTCCAAAGAATACTTTTGAGACTTCTGTTTCTTCAAAACCATGGAGAAAATCGAAAGCGGCTGTGGTGAATTCCTCACGACTAATTTCGCCATTCTTATTCGAGTCAATCACGTTGAAGGAATGCGTCACCTTATCTTCAGAAATACCAGGAGCAATTATTTGAAAATACACCTTGAACTCGTCCAAGGAAATGTGACCGTCTTTATTGAGGTCCAGGGCATCAAAGAGCGGGTCATGAGTTTGTTTTAGGAGAGCCATTTTTTTTTCTTGCGCTATTGTAGGGAATAGTTGGTTTGCTTTTTTAGCTGCTTCTTCTACAGGGATCTTTACTCCGGGTTTTAGACCCAATCCATCAGCAACTGTCATGAATGCATTGCGTGTCGATTCGGCGTTCTCGGCGTTCAATTTACCATACTCTTGCAATTTTGTGGCCATGAGCTCGTAGTCTTCGCGAGATATGAAACCATCGTGATTCAAATCTAACCTGGTGAATCGAGTTCGCATTTTCCGCAAGTGATACACGCGTTGTTTTTCTGTCAAACTCGACATCGTAATGGTGTCTGGTGATGGCGACTGGTCTGGTGTTGAACTGATACAAAATATAGGAGGCGGTGCAAAGCGCTGATCGACGTGTGATCTTATCTATGCTTAGTGTATCTATATTATATCAAAACACTTTGTCATTCAAGTGTGTGGGGGGTCTCAGCGGTGCGCTTTTGACTAGTTTGAGAGCCTGAGGTGGTTTTCGGATATATCTCAATTGTCGTGGAGGTTAATTTTACCGTGAAGAAGTTATCGCTCACGTCGAAGTCCAGTGTAAGGAGACAATGAACTAGACTAATATTATACTCAGACAACTCAGTCAATTGAAGTGGATAAGATACATGTGGGTCAAATATTCGTTGTTTGACAGTGACGTGACGTAAGGATTTCTATGGTCAATTTAACATACTCTATCTGCATATGCCGGAATGTTTGATATTTGTGAAAACATCGCGTTTATTTTGTACAGTATATTGACTAGCTTTCGATCCATAAGGGGCCTGCTTTGCATGGAACTTTACCAGTATATTGAATTATTATAGCACCATGCGATGAAGACCGGACTCGGATTGAAAGCTAATTCCCCAAAGCAGCGAGCGAAGAAATAAACGTGCCACAAAACAAAGAAAATCAATTATATTTATTTTTACCTTATTAATGTTATCAAGATAACGAAATATCCATAACTAAAAAGCAAAATGCACTAATTATTGAAAATGCGTCATAGCGACTATCCTTGTATCTCCAAAATATACACCTTTCCATAATTACGTCACACATACTTTTTGGTCTTGGAGCCTCGCTCTCATTAGTAAATTACGCAAGGTGATTGGCTCACGATTCGTCAAAGCGAGGCTCCCAGGCCAAATGACATAATTATCGAAAGGGTGCATTACGGCGCATACAAAAATCATATATATCCAATATAGCCATCGGTTGTCAGGTGGTGAAGATGGTGTAAGATGGTGTCAGATGCTTTGTTTGTCAGACGCTTGTAGTGTGGTGTCGGATGGTGTAGGATGGTTCAGCTGAACAGCTGTTGTCAGGTGGTGAATATGGTGTAAGATGGTGATGATTGTTTAATGGGGGGGAGGGGAGTGTTAATTTTTAACCTACTTGTGCATATATAGTGTTGCCTCGTTCTTTCCGCCAGGTATATATCAATCAAACCTACCAGACCAACGACAAAAGCGTTATGGCTAATTGTGCGTATATATATATAGTGTTGCCTCGTTCTTTCAAAACCACGTATATATCAATAAAGCCTACCAGACCAACGACAAAAGCGTTATGGCTAATTGTGCATATATAGTGTTGCCTCGTTCTTTCAAAACCACGTAGCTATACTATCAATAAAACCTACAACACCAACCATATATGAGATCAACGACAAAAGCGTTATGGCTAATTATACATTATTATATAGTGTTGCCTCGTTCTTTAAAAAACACGCTTCGTATGTAGTAAACTGCAGTAGCAAACGCGTCAACGCATTACTATACAATCTTTGACAACGTCAAAAATTGTGTATTTATATACGTTTCATATGTATACATGCTTATATTCGCTTTGACATTTTAGGCATTTCCGGGCAGGAAATTATAAATTATAACAGTTATATAACATGCACTAGCGGTCTGTAATGCAGCCATGCTATGTCAATGACAAATACATGCATAAGCCAGCAGGGTTCTTGTTTTAATCTTGTGCGCACTTTATATAACTGAATGAAGCAATTCATTGCATTATTACCTTTAATTGCTTCAAATTCGGCCGTAAACTACAATGATAAATAGAAAACAGCAGGCATCTCAGTCTAAAGTAAAACACTAGGAAGATCATGTACGTAATCTTTGCAGAGTATTCAAACGAATTTAACTCCCAATTACAAGATGCAAATTTCAATATACGGTACAAAATATGTTTCAAACTCCTCGAAAATATAATATATAAAAATGTTTGACACGTACAGTGTGGCTATATATACTGAGCACGGAACTGAACACTAATACATGCATAGACTGTAATATAAGAGCCTGTGGAGTGCGGTGCGGTGCATACAGAGCTCAATTATGCGCCGACTTAAAACTATAAACAGAACAAAACGACAGTGGCGTAAGTTTGGACCAGGCTGCCCCTGGTACTACCGGGATTGGGTGCCCCCAAGGCGGGGGATCATAGATATTTTGAAGATGGAGCTCTGACAACATGAACATTTTTCTAGTCGTTTAGAAGCCAATTTTAATGGATTTTTTAAACTGGAAATATAAATAAATATATGGCAAAATAAAAGAAAACAGCTATAAAATAGCACTATGCGGAAATTGTTTTTGACATAAAGAGTGAAGTGTGTGCCACTGTAATTATGCACATACATACTCAATTAAATGTAACATTACAGTACATCTTAAATTTCTCGCACCTGGTCTTTTTTTCAACAAACTCATCGATCATTTTGTCAACGGGAAGCTTTCTTGCTTCGTCTGCCTCTATTGAGATCATGGCAAGCGCCATATGATCTCGCCATGCAGGCAAATGAAATGGCAAGCGCCATTTTTATTATAAAAAAATAATTATAATAACAACTAAAAAACTGAAAAATTAAACATGTGCGTCTCATTCAATACTTGCGTGTTAATGTTTATGGAAGTAATATTCACTAAAGCATAAGCAAGAGTATATAATATTTACAAGACCATGCAAGTGGAACTGTGGAATCTGTTGAATTACGCGCTCCTTAAGTATTCTTAAGACGTACAGGTAAATTATATAACACAAGTTTTTGCTATTGGATTTCATATTAAGTCTAATACTGCTAGGCGCATTTACCACATTATATACACAGTAATTAAATTAAACTAAGAAACCAAAACTTTATAATAATATAGAACTAACAGTGTTCAGTGGCTGAAGTCCATTGAGTGAATTACAAGGCACAAAGTGCAGTCACGTTATTTTATGGCTTTTGCAGGGCCTAAAACTTTAATAAACCTTACGCTGAGTGCCTGAGTCAAAATAATTTACAAGTCGAAGCAAGCAAAACGATACATAACGATATCTTTCAAATACGCCTCAAATACTGTATGTCGCACGTCGCTTATATTTTATGTTCTGCGCATACCAAGAGCGCACGCGACGACAATGCGATGCGCTTAATATTTTTTTTTTACTTTGCCATAATACTTATATACATTCACTGGCTAGGAAACCACAACAGCCATGCCAATTACAGTGGCCCCACATTACTTCAAAACCACCTCTCTGCATATATTAGAATGCTGCTTCGCTCGCTTCATGCTGGCTCGCTGCCGCACAGCAGTTATGAATGGTTATCCATGAATTTTCACCACTAAAGTGTGTACTACTTGTTGGCTATGTCATGTACTACATACTATAGTGGAACGAGAAAGAACACGAAGGAAGTAAAGAGTTTGTCTTGAAGCAAATTTTCAACGCAGGGGTGGGTCATCAATTTTTATGCAAGGGCTTTATGACCGGTCCCTTACAATTCCTTCTAAATATCCTAGCAAGTGGAAGCCATTCTCAAGAAATCACATGAACACAAGATCGGTTGTTTGTCAGTTCTGTTTGTCGAAACACGTCGTATACTTCTTGACTGCCACTGGTTCCGAAGACATTCTATTTTTGCATTGTGCATTTGTACTTTGTATAACCTCCGATATAGTTTGGTTGTTTTAACAAGTTCAGGTACAGACATTTCTAGAACAGACGTAATTGACGTTGTTATTTCCAGCCTTTGTAATGCTTGTAGAACCTTTGGAGGGAGGTCAAGGTTATCCATTTCTTATTTATAAATTAACTGAAGTCTGAGTTGATCGAGTATCGATTTAGTATTAAAGTTTTGAATGTTTTTGTTTTGTTATTTATGTGAAATGTCAAAGTTCGGCGAGTTCGCTGTATTTCCCGCCTAAAACTCGTGCGTTCTCGTAAAAGCTTCGGTCACATTGTCGTACATGTTCGGAGCCTACCTAGCTACGGACAACGGACTGACGGACAAGCGTACTGATGAACTAGTTGCTGCAGAAATACAGAATGTTTTCCTGCATGTTATTTTGGCGGCTGCAAAATTTTTGAATTTCCGCCGCTGGAATCTCCGAGCTTCAAATGAAATACTACAATTAATCAGCTACGATTAAAAGGGACGTTGTAGGTTTGGCCGGTTGGCCCTGCTGTGAGTGGCAAAGATAATGTTTGTATCTTCGACTGTTCACCCTTAGATACAAATCACGGCAATTGTATGTAATTTGTTTGCCTCCAACTGTGATACCTTCAGCACCAACCACACACGAAACTAATGCACGATAGTGCTGAATGTTTTTGTATAGATCAGTATAGGTTGCCTATTTTTTTACAAGAACTACACCTCGAAATTCGAACGCTATTCACGAAATTGAGAACTGCTTTCAAGCAATTGACCACTTGCGTAATAGACTAAATTTTGATCTCAACAAGTCTAGACAAAAATGTAATCACAGCTTGAAAGAGCATCACAAAATTAGTAATATTCCAAAGTTTCGTTTCGAAATGTTGTAAAATGCGGATAATATAGCCCTGCGAAGTTTGCCATTTTCCAGTCATTTTGCATTACGAAGGGAAAATTGACAGCCCAATACCCTTTGGGGCTGTCAATGTCCCGTTTGTAATAGAAAATGACTAAAAAACGGCAAACTTCGCAAGGTTATATTATCCGCATTAATTTTGCTACATTTCGCAACGAAACTTTGGAATATTACTAATTTTGTGATGCTCTTTCAAGCTGTGATTAAATTTTTGTCTAGACTTGTTGAGATCAAAATTTAGTCTGTTATGCAAGTGGTCAATTTAGCTCAAATTCAATTCTAAAATTCCTCTCAGAAACATTACCAAGATATTCTAGCTTTATATAAAAAAAATCAAAATAATGAAAAGTTTTCATGTTGTTTTACAATGCATTTAGGCTGGGTCTTTAGCGTCATACAACGAATAAAGTTGCAATTGTGTTGATCAATGCTGATATTTCTGTAACCATATTGGCTAGCAGTAATCAACCAACATTGCCGCCCACAAAAAATAAGTTCCCAGCCTGTTTCAATGGCTGCCTCAGCCGCTTCACGTTGCCTCAGGGCCTTTTTTAAGACTGATTCGTCCGTGGTGACTCCTCATACAATGTCAAATTTACAAATAACGGTAAGATCATCAGATTAACATCATACAAAAATTATAATAATGAACTCTTTATATATAAAATCTAGTAACTTACTGACATAATTACAGAAACCTGCACTAATACCCGTATTCTAAAAGCTCACTCATGCATACTCAATGCATGAGTGGAGGTTCAATCTGAGCTTCTCTTGAGTGTCAGCGCTGTTTTTCAATAGCTGCCGGTAATGTGAGTATAGTCACATAGTAACGGTACGACACTAA